AGGGAAGTGGTGGAGTCACCATCCCTGGAGGTATTTAAAAGCCGTGTAGATGTGGTGCTTAGGGACATGGTTTAGTGGTGGGCTTGGCAGTGCTGGGTGAACCGTTGGACTTGGTGATCTTGAAGGCCTTTTCCAACCTAAATGATTCTATGATTCTATTAGTTCCCAGCACCCATCTCTAACTGCTCTGCAAATCAGACTTCAATGCTTAGCTGTCACACAAGGTTGCTCTAAGGACTGTGGAACTATCTTCATCGAGACACCAGTGGGAATGGTAGTTTTTTACACAGTAACTTTGATTTGCTGTGAAATTGATGTCAAAACAGATTGCAGGGTCTGTCTGTCTTCAAGCTTTTGCTATCAAAGCCTGATGCACTGTGAAAAGTTATTTTAGATGATTAAGTGGTATTTTAGGGATTTTTGCCACTCCTTTGATGCATCTTACAGAAAAAATCTTCTTTTCAGGTGATCCAGATCCTGTTTTGAGATGCATAGTTTCTGGCTTCTTTGCTAATGCAGCTAAATTCCACTCTACTGGAGCTTACAGGTAAAATACGTAGTTTCATTATAACTGTTGCTTAGTTTAAAAGCTCCTTTGACTGGATAAATCTAGGTATAATCAACAAACAGATGCTTCTTTAGACACTTGCAATAAGAAACACCTGGCAGTTGATTTACTAAGTATTTGAAGTTTTGTATTTTCAAACTGCTTCAATGTTTATCTTTTCTCTTTGGGAAATATAAATGATTAAAGTTATTGATAGTGGAAAGCTGTTACTAATAGTAATTAGCTTGTGTTAACGTAAGCAAGAACAGCATCTCTGTTGCAGCACTCCCAGTGCAATGAATAAAAGCCTGAAACACTACTTTTTCATTTAGCATAGCTAGAACTCTTTCAGGATGTTAAATTACCAATTTTTCCTTTTGCTGGGATTTAAGCCTGGTTTCATCTGTTCATTAAGTGCGGATGTTTTTAATTTGTTCCAGTTCTTTCATTGTTGCCTTTTATTAACATTCTTACTGGGGATGAAAGGAACCAAATGTTAAACAATAAATAGACTCTCTATCTGAAATAGTATCTTGCTTTCAAGGACTATCCGTGATGACCATGAACTTCATATCCACCCCACTTCAGTGCTGTATGCAGAGAAACCTCCCCGCTGGTAAGTTAAAGCAGCTTTCACCTGCTTTGTGATCTTTATAAGACATTCTCAGCATCCAGACATTTTCATGAATGACTTTTCTCCATCAGTGCAGGAATAGAAGTAGGTGGTCATGGCTCCCACAGAGAGAATTCAGTTGGTATTTCCTTTGCAACTTTTTGTAGGCAGTATCCAAATAAATCAGGAATATAGTGATGTTTAACTGTCAAAAAAACCTGCAGAGGTTGGAAAGCAGTTAGGTGACCCTTTCTTAGTGGGTGCCATACCTTGCACTGCAAATTGCTCTACGAGTAGTCTCTGTGCCTAGATAGAGCTAGGGTTAATTTATTAAGCCTATTAAGGAAATAGCCTGCCAAATAGGTGCAGTAATTGCAAATGGCTTGCTAGGAGAGGGCATTCATGTAAAAGGTTACGGATGTCTGGCAGATCAAGGAAAGGAATTGTCATACATTCGTAATGTCTGGGATATTGCAATTCCATTTGTAATGTCAAAGATGCTCAGATAACAAACAGAAATGTGTTTCTAATGATCAGGTCAACATGATCAACCTGAAGTATTTGGACTCTGGTCCTTCTTTGCCTGTTGCTGAGACTTTGAAGGATAAACTTGGCCAGTGTCATCTGTTGTCTTTGAATTGAGCTCCTACACCTGGTGCGTAGGGTTTGCAGCAGTATAACTGATTGGAACTTGGCCAGCAATCACACTGGCTCACAAATTAAAGTTTGGCTCAAAAAATAAAAATAAGCCTGGCTCACTGTACCAATTCTTCAGGGCTGAGTTGAGCAGAGTGTAGCTAGAGTAATTTTTGCCACTGAAACCAGCCTTATTTGATGCTGTTTTGTCAGTTGTTTTTTTTATCCTCCTGTCACTGCTATTAAAAATAAAACACAGTATGTTTGAAATAATAAAAAGAACACTTTGCAAATATACCTACTGTAAGCTAGAAAAACTCAAAAAGTAACATCCTGAAAGAGGTTGGGTCATGGGAGAGTAACAGAAGAATAAATTGTGAATAAATTTATTTGGAAAGAAAGTCTAGTGGTAGGAGAGTACTGGAAGAATTCTTTGCTCCAGCACACACTTCTTCCAGGGCTCGGCTTTTAGATGATGAGCCTTCAGTGTGGAACTTCCATCCCAGCCTTGGGCACTTCCAGACCTATAGAAAAGCAGAACTGTAGACAGCTAGCTGGAAGTCTTAACTGACAAAACTTAAGACTGCTCTTTGCTGCACAGCCTGTTTGCTGTTGGTGGCAGCAGTATTGCTGGAGTTTTTAGGAATAGTGATTCTGGGCTTAAATCTCTTTTTGGACCCACGTGTTGCAGAACAGGCAGAGAGCTGTCTTCCAAGGCCACGTGGTGTTGCCACCACCAGCCTAAAGACGCTGCTGGCTTGTGGCATCCTGTAAGACAGGAGTTTAACTTACTCAGCAACCCTAGTTTCAGTGTTGCTGCTGCCTGGGCACCCATCCTGTGTTGAGGGCTTCAATTCTCTGTCTCTTAGAGGTGTATGTAAAATGTGTTCTCATGCTTGTTTGCTTTCCTCAGATTTCTCTTTAGTTGTATTAGTTAGTATGTCTCGGACCACGTTTGGCAAAGAAGAGAATTTTGATCTCTTCCCTCTTTGCTTTTGAGAGCAAAATACCAATTAATGAGAGACCACAAACCTTGTGGGTTTGCACCTCTAATGTGTATAGAAGGCAGATAACAACTTGGGGTTTTGGTGACTAACCCTTCAGCGAGTGGGTTTGCGCTTCCTTGGTAAAAATGACTTTCCGTACTGAAGGGTGACTTCAGAAATAGGTTGCCCATGCTGGGAGCAGGGATTGAGTCCACATGGCTGGCTGTTTCTAAATCTCTTACCAGGAGATGTTCTGGCAGTAGTTAAAGCTGATCTTCTTCCAATCCTTATCTTTCTTGTCTGCAGATAGGCACCAAAGATAGTCATGCTGTGATTTGTGCCCTACTTGTTGTGGGTCCAGGGTTTTGGTGCCTCTGACATCCTTCCTTGTGATATCGCAGAGTAACTAATATTGTCTCTTCCAAAGCATCTGTTATGAGTCCCCCTTGGCCCCATTATAAGAAATACTCTTTCTTTTATACCTTGCATCCATATGTCCTGGTAATATGTGAAGGTGTTTTTAAGGGCAGTCTAAAGGTTGTTTTAATGTAGAGTACTTTGAACAACCAGAGGGAAAGTGATAAGAAGCTGTATTATAACTTAAAGACTCTCTTGTCACTCTGTAAATACTACCTCTGGCAGCATGCATGTGAAAATATGCTGCTAATCATCTCTCTCACTCATTGCTTTATAGCAAACACTTTTTTTTTTCCTCCTAGGGTAGTCTACAATGAAGTCATACAGACTGCTAAGTATTACATGAGAGATGTGACTGCTGTTGAATCTGCGTGGCTCTTGGAACTGGCTCCTCATTTTTACCAGCAAGGAACGGTACGGAATCGGCATAAAGCCCAAACGGTACCATTGCTGTATTAGCAGCTCTTGTATCTGAACTTTTGATGTGTTTATGTTTTGTTGTTGTCTTTTTAATGGTACAAAAATTAATTTGGTTTTGTTCATTGTAGTGGTTTTAATATAAAGAAAGAGGATAATAAATTGATGCATGAAAGCTTTTTCCCCTATTATCCAGCCAACAGACGTGATCTCAAAGTTACAAAATAGTATATTGCTCTGGCAAATGAAGTCTTTAGCCATTTTACACTTGAGTATAAGCACTTGGTAGCACTCCTATGAGCAGTGCTATAGCTCGGCAGTGGTCATACTTTGCACGATCATTTTAGAGGAGTCTTTGCATGCTTTGCAAATGGTTGTGCAAACCCTGAGCTTTTTTTTTGAGCATTAATTAAGTTTCGTACAGCTCTGATCTGTTCAAACTTGAAGTGGCAAAGAACAGCTACTATTTGTGCAAACATAGCTTTTCTTTACAATTATCTTTTAATAGTTGCCACCGTGCTTTATCAACTCTGTGCCACATGAATCCATCATTCTAGGCTTATTCACTGGTCATTCTGAGAACTGGATTGGTATTATCTAAATCTTAGTTATGCTGGAGCTGCTGATACCGCATTGCATGTAAAAACTCTATAGGCAAGATTACCAATTCAATCTTGCATGTGAATTTCCCATGGGAGATTAATAACTACTGAGCTTTATATTCTAAATTAGTGAAGTTTTTCTAAAATACTGAGTGAAAAAATGCACTTGCATGTAAGACCTATGCAGAAAGAGATCTGTTTGTGCATATGAGCAGCCATGTTGCAAAAATTGCTGTTTCTGATTTATACAGCTGTGTGGTGGGTTGACCCTGGCTGA